TATATCTCAGTAGATATTTCATTCAATGAATTTCGTAGTATCCAGAGAATGGAAATAATCCTGTGATCATAAGATCAAGTAAGCCAAGGTTGTTGACTTTAGCTCCATGGGGTGACTGAGCCACTTCAGCTCTGTCTCACTCTGGCCTCTGGTTCTCTGCCATCCCTGCTGGTACTGGTACTGGATCTGGTACTGGTACCGTTGCCATATTTCTGTTAAGGTCTCACTCTATCTCATAGGAATCTGTGGTCCAAAATAAACACTGCCCTCCCTGCTTCTTCTTTCTTGATGGTAGTGAGACTTTCAGATTTTTGCCTCTGAATCTTCTCAATTTAAGCCTAGTAGGATGTCAGAACTGACCAAACCCTGCATTAGTGACTTACACATTTTATTTGCATGGTTCCATCCTATACCAATTGCATATCAATAGCAAGAAAACAAAAATTCTCACCAATGGGTCAATAGGCATCATCATGATAGATGGAGAAAAGATTGAAGTTGTTAACAATTTTGTTTGGATCCACAATCAACACCCTTGGCACTAGCGGTCAGGAAATCAAAAGATGAGCTGTATTGAAAAAATCTGCTGTCAGGGACTCTTCCAAAGTGCTGAGTGCACCAATGTCAGGCTAGAGACTAAGATGTACCTGATCCAGGCCATGGTTTTCGCAATTACTTGCTATGCATCAGACAGCTCAACGATGACCAAAGATGACAGAAAAAGAATTGATACCATTAAAATGTGGTGCTGGAGAAGAGTAATGAATATACCATAGACAGCCAAGAAAACAGAACTGCCCTGGAGAAGGTGAAACCAAACTGTTCCTTGGAGGCAAACTCTGTCTCACATACTTTGGGCATGTTGCCAGGAGGTACCAGTCCTTAGAGAAGGACATCATGCTTGGAAGGGTGGTGGGACAGTGCAGGAGAGGAAATCCCTGAATAAGGTGGACTGACACAGTGACTGTGACAATAGGGTCAGATGTATCAGAGACAGTGAGGTTGGCTCTGGAGAGGGTAGAGTTTAGAGCTATAGTTCATAGGGTCACCATGAGTCATGGTCAACTTGACAGCACATAACAACAACAACAACATCAATTTACCTTATTTAGACTGGCAAGCTATCCAATCCCCTTGGTTGCCCACAAATGTCTTACATGAATATAGTCCTATGCAGCCATGTAGCATCATCCATAGAGAGCTGCACTGCCAACCTGAAAGCCAAGCTTCTCTGGTCTTCTGAATCCATCACCTGCTCCAGGGGGAGACAAATAGGCCTCTACTACCATGTGATTTTTTGAAACCCAATAAAGGGTCAATCATGAGTCAGCTCTGATTCAATGGCAATGAGTTTTGTTTGGTACAGTCTTGTTTCAGGAGAAAGACTGGCTATGTCCACCTACTAAGATTCACAGCCTCAGAAACCCAATGCAGGATGACTGTGACTTGGAATTGACTGGATGGCAATGAGTTTGAGGGTTTCTTTAGAATAAAATTTGGAGGCTCCTGTGAATTGGTTTCACTCTGGAAGATGTTTCTCGTCTCTTGATGATGGTCACGTATGGAAAGTTTGGTTGGTTTTGGGCTTTGTTTCCATACACAAGTGGGTGCCAACTGATTGGACTTGCTAAATTCAGCTAACAATAAGCAATAGCCTGGGGGTCTCTGGTTTACAGTCAACCAGTAGTTGGTGGGTATACCTGTTTTTAAAAAGGCAGTAGGGCCCAAGGGCCACAGGCCCGAGGGTCATGTGTTAACTGATTTTGGGATGAACATTCCTTTAAATGTTACAGCAGTGGTCTATTCTGTAGTAACTGGTCTTTACTGTTCTGAAGTAACCTGGAGTTGCAATGATGCTGAACACTGTGCCATAGATGTGTCAAACACCATAATGGTTACCCAGCATGGGCAGTGTTTGGTGAAGTTCCCAGATTGATTCAGGTTTGGAAGCAGGAGTGGCATCCACTTCTTAAACCACATGCCTCCAGAAACTCTATAAACATAGAGAAATAATGATCATTATAGAACAGAGTTCAGGTCTTTTGTTTATAGGGTCATTATGAATCATACCCAACTCGAGAGCAGTTAACAACAACCTGTGGTTTACTTACAAAGTTCGTATACATTGTTTTTCACACCAAATCTTTCCCTTTTCCTTTATCCAGCCCTCCCTCACAGCCATATGGTAAAAGTCAAAGCCAATGGCCAAAATAGCCAGGTTATAGCAAAACCCCCTACACTAAACTTCAGCCAGGCTTTAGCTTTTTCTCCACTGGAATCCTTTCTTTTTTCCCCTTCTCATTTATTTCTTTATAAGAGTAATTTTCATGCATCTTTAACAGCAAAAGTTAGTCTTGAGAACATTCTGTGTAGAAGTATTTTGGAACATTGAAAAGGAGACCTAAATACATTGACCTTCTTCTCCCAAGTTCCAAAGCAAGGAATAAAAGTGAGCAGATAAGAGTTATAATAGCACCTTAGTTCTTGGCCAAGTTGATGTTGGGGAACACAGCTCACTTGCTGGACTAGGAGTTTTCCTGAGGATGGGCTGCTCTCCACCCTTAGACACTGACTAAGAATCAGACAAAGCCATCAATGGGGGTGGGGGGAGGGGGCTAGTGAGGGGCCATCCTAGACAGGTCAGTAGATAGACTGACAGACTGTGGTGCCTGGTGTCTGCTTCTGAACTTATATGGCAGAGAAGTTGTCTTTAACTGATTGTGAAGAAAGGAAGTGGTGGTGAAAGGGCCAAGTGGGGCATTGTTCACATGAAAAAAGAAGTTTCTGGAACCAGGAAACATATCTTGTCTCCACCCATCCCAACTATTGCATTTCTTTAGCTTCTGCTCTGAAAAACCAAACCACCCTGACAAATTTAAACAAGAAACTCCCTTTCAGAGCTAAGTTCTTATATCCATTTATAAAATAACTGAAAACTCAAATCCTTGTCAGTTCTCATATCCACCTTAATCTTCACAGACACTTAAAAAATCCCACAAAGGTAAAATCATGATTATTATGACATTTTTCAAACTTATGCTAGCTCATTGTGTGAGAAAAGAAGCTCTGGGAATCTCAGAATGTTTTCCAGGTTTTCTTTCCAGAGCATCCCTATTAGACTGTCCTCCAGGCCAGATACAAACCCTAGTATGTCTGAAGATACTAGAAGACACAATTGCAAAATTAATGTCCATTCTGTTTTGGCTTGTTTGTTACATTTTCTACTTTTATTTTCAACACAAAATCTCCATCTTCTGACCTGATGCTAACGCTTCTCTGTTCAGTACATTTTTTTTTTGCTGTATTAGCAGCAATGAACTCTGGATGACATCTATGAATTATGAGAAGGTTGGAGTCAGATGCTGGAAGCAGAGGGAACATCAGAAGGTAGTAAGTGCAAGTTAAGTGGGAACGCAGGGGCCATGGAGTCACTCAGGTGATCCCCAGGGCCTCACATTCTCATCTCTAAGAGGAGCCACGGTCACAGTCAGTGGCTTCTTGTTGGATGTAAGTATCATGTTCAAACAGCAGAGGTATTCAGAAATACTCACGGATTTCACAGTTGGTTCCCACCCAGCCATGAGGGCAATGGCAGGTATAACCATTGGGTTGGTCCAGACAGGTCCCGGAGTGGCGGCAGGGATTACTGTCACATTCATTTATGTCAATGTCACACTCTTCACCTAGGGAGATAAAGAGAACAGCTCTTGACAATGCAGTGACAGTAGCTCTCTCATCATGTCTTTGGATAAACAAAGATTGGAGGTCAAAAATCTTTGTCAACAGAACCCAATCAGCTTTTTGTATGAAATGCAGAAAAGGAGCCCTGATTAAGCACTCATCTGATAATGAAAAGGTTAGTGGTTTGAAACTACCCAACAATTTCCTCTAGTTAAAGACCTGGCAATCGACTTCTGTTGTTGTTATGTGCCATTGAGTCGCTTGTGACTCATAGAGACCCTATGTAAAACAGCCCTAAACCCTGCTCTGTCCTGTGCCAATCGCACTGTCTCCGACACCCGTACCCCGATTACCCCAGTCACTGATCAATTCACCTCACAGAGGGTCTTCCCCTCCTGTGCTGTCCCTCAACCCTCCCAAGGACTAGTCCCTCCTTGCAACATGTGCAAAGTATATCAGACGAAGCCCCAGAATCCTTGCCTCCAAGGAGCAGCCTGGTTTAACCCTCTCTAGAATGAACCTGTTTGCTTTCTTAGCAGTCCATGAGACATTCAGCACTCTTCTCCAGCACCATAGCTCACTACTTCTACAAAGAGTGAATTTAAAAATACAAATTTACTGTCACCAAGTTGACTGACTCCTAAGGATCCTATGGGACAGAGTAAAACTGCCCCACAGGGGTTTAAGGCTGCAATCTTAGAAACAGAATGTTACATCTTTGTCTCACAGAAAGATTAGTGGATTTTAATCATTAACCATTTAGTTAACAACTAAGTACTTAGCCACTGTACCATCAGGGTGGCCTAGAACACTGATGGGGAATTTTCCACTATTTCATAGGTTAGTTTTGAGTCAGAACTGATTTGACAGTACCGAAGAACAACATAAAATTTTTGGTGGTGAAGGACTTCTCTGTGGTAGAGCTAGTTAACTGAAGTTAACTCTCTCGTGTGGATGAATGTATCAAGGTTCTTCAGAAAAGCAAGGTTGGCTTGTGGCTTTACCAAAGAGGTCTATTTACATCCATGAATGGTAATCTCACCTATCTTATTTTTCTGAAATGCTGTAAAGCTGAACATTTGTAAACTGGTTTTTATGTTTGTGCATGTGAGTCTGGACGTTTGAAACAGATAATACCTCTCTCATTGTTGTTGAGTCAGAACTGATTCATAGATAACCCTATAGTGGGTTTTCAGAGGCAAAATACCTGGGTAAATCACATGGGAGGAGACTGCCCGTCTTTCTCCCAGGGAGCAGCTTGTGGATTCTAATTGCCCACTAAGCCACCAGATCTAAGTAACAGACACACATTAAGATAAGCAAAGGAAAAAGCAATATACAATCAGGGGATGATCATCATAGTATCAATAAAGAAAGAGAGATTCAGAACATTAATGGAACATTAGATTCACAAGACAGGGTGGGGAAAGTCTAATGACATTGTGGGTAGCTTGTAGAACAGAGTGTATATGGATGGTTAAACGATAAATGAATATGCTTTGTAAACTTTCACTCGAATCAATTTTAAAATTAAAGAGAAAAAAGCAATTGATTTGAAGGCAGTGGGCTTGGTTTTAGTTGGTGAGACCCAAAGAGGAGAGGACACTTCACACCTAGAATCTCCCTTAGAAGTCTGAAAAAGATAAAAAAGACATTTTAAAAACTGCCCTTGGTTGCCCAATCAATGGAATATATGACTGAAAAAAAATAAAGCTCTTAGCCCTGCTATAGTCATAGAATAAAGCAAGGGGATAAAATCAAATACTATATCCATTTTCAAAAGGGGCACGCAGGTAATTCCTTCCAAGCTTACTCAAATAGCAGCAAAGTGATTTTCTACCTGCTACCAGTTTACCTCACCTTAATAAAACCCACCATATATCACACACAGACCCTTTTAGAGGAGGACTCACACATGAAATTATTTTATACGTTTCATTTTCATCCCTCTCCATACTTGATACTTGACAATTTTATTTTTAAAGTAAAATCTGCCAAAGGTAACAAACATTTACAACCTGTAAGTCCTATTAGGCTGATTCCAATTCAGGAGTATCTAAGTGAATTTATTTCCTACAAGAAACATAGTCATTTGCGTCAATAGAAAAGACATGAAATTGATTGCCTCTTACTAACCTATTTCAAAGGTTATCTTTCTATTAATGAGGCAATCACTCGGAGAGGAAAAGGGCACAGATTAACCTATTTCAGGTAACACAGGACAGTAGACCTGCTGAAGAGATACAAACAAGAACGTGCTGGGAAATGTTAAAAGGATGAAATCAAAAGACTTGACAAATATATACAACTGAACCACTGTTTGAACCATTTAGGCAGACAAGATTAATTAAGGTATTTGCTGCACAAGAGCTGTCTTTAGCAGACAATGTGAACAATGTATAAAACGCCTTCCTGTCTTGGCAGCAAGCAGTCTCTCAGAATGGATTGTATTCTCTCGGCTTCTGCAGCCTTGGAAAACTCAAAGCACCCACTTAATAGAAGTTCAACTTCAGGGCCAGACCATACTTATTCACTGAGCTCTCCAGGCAGCTCGAAGTGGTCCATCCAGACCTACTATGGGCCAGAGCTTCCAGGGAGATAGGTGACAGAGTTGAGATTCAGAGAAGCCTGGCCCTGCACTGGTTCTTAGATCTCTAAGAGGATCTTACACAATCAAGAGAAGTCCAAGAATTCTAGAACTGTCTGGTCTTGTGAAACCTGGTGGCACAGAGGTTAAGTGCTCAACTGTTAATGGAAAATTGAACCCACCAACTGCTCCATAGAAGAAAGATAAGGAGTAGCCCAAGGGGTAGTTCTACTCTGTCCTATCAAGTCTCCATGAATTAGAATTGGCTCAAGGAAAATGGCTAGGGTTGGTTTGGGGACCTGCTAGTTTGGAAGGATTTGGTAGAAATAGAGGATGGCAGGAAACATACTGAATTAACCATTTCTTGTATTTGCTTAGGAAACATCTAAAATGCAAACCAAAAGCTTAAGCCTACTGTCATAGAGTTGACTTTGACACATAGTGGTCTTATCTGTAACAGAGGAGAAATGTTCTGTGGTGTTATAGTGATTATAATCATACAGTAAAAGAAACAAACAGAAGGTTTCAAAGGGCAGCTCAAGAAGACAAAGCAAAGTATAGTAAAATGTGCAAAGAGCTGGAGTTAGAATATAAAAAGGGAAGAACCCATCTGGCATTTCTCAAGCTCAAAGAATTGAAAAACAAATTCAAGCCTCAAGCTGCAAGATTGAAAGATGCTAGTCATTGTATCAAAAAGAATTGGCTGATACGATATCATTTGAGGAAGCAGTAGCTGATTAAGAACCAACGGTAATGAAGGAAGAAGTCCAAGGTGCACTGAAGGCATTGGCAAAATAGTAAGGCTCAGTATTGGTGAAATACCAACGGATATATTTAAACAAAAAATATGTAGCCCTGAAGATGCTCACCAGTCTATACCAAGAAATTTGGAGGGCAGCCACTTGGCCAACTGACTGAAAGAGATTCATATTTGTTCCCATTTCTAAAAAAGGTTATCTGACAAATCCTGTTGCCAAAAAAAAAAAAAGGTGATCTAATGCCACACCCGCCTCGCTGTCCTCTCTGGCCACGACGCCTGTGTGACAAAATGGGTCGTCCGTACGGGGTCTCTGACCTCAAGGATAGCATAAGAGGGAACCTTGCAAGCCCTGTGCTTGTGAGTGGGCTGATGCCTGGATATTTGTTACAGATGGGTCTTCGTAATCCCGGGAAACCTCTGGAAATTAAGTTGCTTCTAGGATAAGAATGGGATTTTCTGGGGAAAAATCAGGGGAACTTCACCAGAACTGGGATAAAGATTTAACTAAAGTCCTTAATCAGGAACCACTTGATGTTCCTGGAAATGATAACAAACAAGCTGAAAATATAAAAGAAATTGAGATTGTTCTTAAAAGTATAATTTTGAATATGATCTTTGAGTATGTATCTAATTCCTCTTTTGTGATACTTGCAACTCATATTTAGTAATGTAATTGTATATTAGGAGAAAGTTTAGACTAGTTTCAACAGCAGAAAGTCATAGTTAATGAGAATAAAACAGAGGTTTAAGAAAAGACTCAAAAGACAAACTTCTCTAAAAGTAAAGGTCTCTTTAAGAAATAGGAAATATTACCAGATAAATAACAGGTGGTGGGAAGAAAGTACTTATAAAGGACCATATGTCCTGCCAACTCCAACACCAGTACCTCTTCCTTATACAGACGTTTTGTATTCCAAGGAAAAAGAATTGAATATTACAAATTAACTTGGTAAAAACAAGTTAAAGGAAGTCGTCCACCTTAGTGCACATTGCCAAACAAAAAACAAATTAAAATCTTATGAAACAAGTTGCAAAAGCTATTGTTAAACATAGGAATGGTCCAGAGTGTAAGAAAATAGATGTTAAGATTTGTTAGGTACAGTACAAATATGAGTATAAAGGCAAAAACAAAGGTGGCTAAAATACAGTGACACAAAGTAGGAGAGGAAAGGAAGTGAAATGTAAACCATTAACCATTGTCTAGCAGATGACCAACATAAGGTCATTGTGTTTCTTGTTCAAAGAATGTTTAATAACCGATGCTATTATTTAGTAATAGAAAATACTTTCTTTTTGTTTTTTCTAGTTAAAATCTTATGTGAGCTTTGTAATCACAAAATGTTGGCTATAAGTCAAGTTTAAACAAGTTTAAATGTATAAAAAGCAAGCTTTTAGCATAATAAATCAGAGCTCTCTACATCATCCTGGTGTGCAGACTCTCATTTTCGCCGACTTCGTCCCTCACCTGCTCTTCACCAAGAAACCCCTTGAGTTTCTTGTCACGACCGTGGTCGGGTGGTCGGTGACAATCTAACAAAATACTGAAATTATCAAACAATGTAACTACTATCACAAGCAAGCAAAATTCAGCTGAAGATTATTAAAAAATGGCTAGAACACAACTCCATGTGAGAAAGTCTGCATTTGTAAAGATT